AAAGTAACTATAAGAGGATCTCTAGATGGCGCTATTCCCCATCCAAACTTCACAGACTCTTCCCCAACTCACAGGATATCTGCTGGAAATGTTCCCAACCAGGGGCTTCCTTAGCACACACATGGTGGCTCTGTCCAACTCTCCAGAAAGACTGGAATAACATAGCTAAAATGATCAAAACAATAACAGGGATCACACTACCCCATACCCCGCAAACACTACTATTTATGATACTCCCAAAGCTCCTCCCCAAACCATTACGGATTCTTATCGTACACCTAGTAACAGCTGCCAACCTGCTCATCCCCGTCAAATGGAGAAACCTGGCTGCTCCTTCGATTAGGGAGTGGATCACCAGAATAGACACACTCAGGAACTTAGAGGAAATCTATGCCTCCATCACACACAAACAAACTTTCTTCCGAGACGTATGGGAGCCCTGGGATGTATTCATGTCCAGCAAATAACACAGTTCTGATCAACAGACCCCAAGGTTAAAAGATCTACACATGGAACACACGGGGGTTGAAGAAGAAACCGCTCCCGGCCACAACCACCCCCACACACTGGACTATCCCTCACTCCTCCCCCCCCACCTAACTACCTCCTAATGCCCAGGACACAATAACACTGCCACAGAACACAAAACACATACTAAAAGATCTAAATAGATATGACAGAGAGGTCACACCTACCTTATCCACCCCACCCCCCAGTTCACACACTCATTTCTTACTCATGACCCCTATAACATGCCCAAAGGGATAAACGAGAGCAACAGTTCTTTCCCCCTCAACACGGCACTATGCATGCCACCACACCGTCACACGGCAGCCATAGGATCACAGCCGGGCTATCAACCTTAGCACTAAGTCAAACTAATAAGTCCTCAAATCTCCCAGCTACCCCTAAGCGTGGCAATAAGATAACACGCTGGCACACCAGACGCGAGCTCACTAAAATGACCTCCAATCATGGCGTAAATTTAAATTAGGATGAGACAACACTGTAGAATAAATTGCTATTTACACAAAAAAAAAAAACTCCTGTACCAAGCTCCATTACAGAAACTTACCACCTACCTAGAGATTGTTGTAGACCATGTACACCCCTTCATGGCAATGATGTTCTTTGATGGTAGTGGCCACTTTCACCAGGTTAATGCACCCTGCCACATCAGGAAAAGTCTGAGGAACATGACAAAGAGTTCAAGGTGTTGCCTTGGCCTCCAAATTCCCCAGGTCTCAATCCGATTGAGCATCTGTGGGATGTGCTGGAACAACAAATCGGATCAACAGAAGGCCCACCTTGCAACTTGCAGGACTTCGAGGATCTGATGCTAATGTCTTTTTGCTAACTACCAAAGAACACGTTCAGAGATTTTGTGGAGTCCATGCCTCAACGCATCATATCTGTTTTGGCAGCACGAGGAGGACCTACACGATATTTGGCAAATGGTTTTTATGTTGTGGCTGATCAGTGGAGGCTATTTTGTAAAACAGAACTCTTTGCATATAATCTGGTCTTAATAGAAGAGTTTAACATACAGTTTTAAAAGTAGTAAATCAAACATTTCAGAAACTGACATACTACGGAATTAGGAGCAAGCATTGACCACTTGGCTTAAAAGTGCTAAAGTATTAAAAAATATATTTTTTGTGAAATAACAGACTGAGTTTTCTTGGTAAAGGTTATAGAAAATAAAAACTTACTAGTGATATTTATAAAAAGAAATTCACTTCAGTGATAATCTGGAAGCATGTGCCGAACTTTGAGCCTAATTGGGTAGAAATATAGCAGCACGTCCTTCTACCGTTTGATAGAGACAGAAGCGCTTATACAGTAACCCATTTATTGTGGGAAGGTGCCTGGAACCTTATCAATATTATGTAGCTTTACATAATTAATTTTAGCTCGCATTATTTAACAATTGTAGAATGAGTCAGTTAGCTAAGCTCTATATGAAGAATGGGTTGCCAATGCCAACATAGTGCCATGTACGCAGGGCCGGAATGGGAAACAAATTTTTTAATCACAGTGGTCCACAGATAAGGGGGCGGAGCCAGATATTGGGTGTTTTGTGATCACCAATGACAAGGTCCCTCTCAAGTGAGCATGCTGGTTTACTGTTCTTCCAGGGCAGAACGTGCACAAATCCCTGCTGAATAGCTCTAGCATGTGTTTAAACCCTGCAGATCATGGTGTTGTATTGTGTAAATAGGTTGGTTTCAGTTGTGTTGTGTTTGTGCAGTAATATGTGTGTATAGGGGTTGTAGAGAGTGAAAGTTTGTGTATAGGGGCTGTAGTGTTACTGTTTTAAATTGTCAAACAATCCACATTTTAAAAAAAGCTCTAGGTGGCGCACTTCGTAAACTATTTCTAAAAGAAATTTTAAAGAAGTAGAGGACACTGCTAAACTATACATGATACAAAATAAAGCAACAAATAAGCAAAAAATATGAAACCATAACAGTATGAGGTATTTTTAAAATCACACATAAAATTGCAGGCACAGACCCAAGAAAAAAATGTAAGTTGTATAGTCTATATTGCATATTAGGTAATTTATTAAAACTATTAACTGGAATGACGCTTTCTGGATTGATAATACCATTTTATAAATATTTGAAATAATAACTAGCTTACTCATTGATATAAAATGTCTGTCAAAATTCTACACACATAAACCTTGAAACAATTGACTTCCCAAAGGTTTTGGGTTTGAAACGGACCTAGTTAAAACTAGTTGAAGTATAGAAACTGACCTAGTTAGAATTTAGCCATCTGTCTATAAAAAAACTTCTATTTGATATAAAAACCCAAACATCCCTAGCAAACGTATAAGTAATTAAACTTAACAATATTGTCAATCTAGAATGTTGCTTAAGGGACAACTCCTTGTTATTGTCCAAAGATTCCATAATTGTCAAAACATCAAAAGTCTCTCAATGTTTAGGTAAATTATATCTTTTTTTCCCTTTTTTTCTTCTCATTACTTCACAAACTAATGGATGTATCATTAAGAGTGACATGACCAAATTAAATCACAGAATGGCACACGTTTATTTGGCAGCTTGATCATAAGAGTAAGACCAAAGTGTCTGCGTGTTCCACCCTGTGTACGTGTCAGGATATTGGACAGGCCCTCAGCAAGGTACATGCTGCAACCAAAAGGCACAGAAGGAAAGGATTGACACGCATATCAAGGTACCTTAGAATGGTCAGTAAAAACGGGACTCTACAGGCACCCAGAATACTCCATTTCAATGAAGTGGTCTGGATGCCATGTGCCCCCATTTTAGCCTTGCAACTGAAAACATTGATGGTCTGCAGGCAGAGGCGTAACTAGAATCCACTATTTTTGCACTGGGGCCCCCCCCATACATCTCCCCTCCTTCCTCAGCTGCTCTATGTGTCTCATTCACTCCCCACAGAGTTGGGAGGGATGAGTGACAAGAATGGAGGGGTTAAGGTGATAGGGTGAGTGTAGCAGAGTGGAAGGGGGCGAGTGTGACAGAGTGATGGAGAATGAGTGTGACCGGGTTGGGGGGATGAGTGTGACAGTGCGAGAGAAGGTGAGTGTGTGTCACATCCTGTTCCTAGCTGTTCCTGTTCCATCCTGTTCCTTAAGCAACACTCAGTGTGCACTTCCTGTTAGTCCGGCCGGGTACAGGAGACAGATGCTCCCTGTACCCGCAGACCATATAGGGCTCAGCCACGCTACAGAGAGGGAGTGACAGGAGGGAGCGCTGAGCGCTTCCCTCCTGTCAGCCCCTCTCCTCAGGCTGCGCCCGGGCGGTGCGGTCCGCCCTCATGGACGCACCGCCCGGGCAAAGCTGCCGCCGCCTGAGGCTCTCTACATAGCGTTCGGGCGGCTGCAGCATGGGGGGGCCGGCGGAGCTGGGGGGGATTTCCCCATAACCTGTCCCCCCCACATGATTGGCTGGGGGGGATGCATCCACCCCATCCCCCCCGGTTCCTACGCCCATGATGTTCGGGTCCGGCGGGTTCGGCCTAACTTTGAAAAAAAGTCCAGGTAAAGGCTCGAACTTGACCCCGAACTTGACACCGAACCCAAACCCCATTGAAGTCAATGGCGACCCAAACTTTTGGCAACAAAAATGCCTCTAAAAAAACTCCTGGAAAAGCTAGAGAGCTGCAACACCAAGTAAAATGGGGGTAAGAGTAGGACAAGCGCCCTGCAAACAAACGTGGATAGGGAAATCACTTAAAATAACATAAAATACCTAAAAATACAGCTGAGCCATAAAATAGCACTAGATGGAATCTTTGATTTTAGCTTTGGAAGAACATAAATCAAAATCTAAAGCATGGCTGTCAAGAGGATCACCAGAATTATCCATTTGAGAGAGGGTTGGAGTGCAGGGTATTCTCTTTCATTGTTCAAACTGAGCTAAACTCCTGATGCATGGAGAAAAGGCCTTCACAAGCCTCTGCTATTGTGTACATAGTTTATACTAAGTGACCCATAGCTTGAGGAGGCGGTGACTATGGCGGTATAGGTGGAAGCGGCGGTGGAAGAGGAGGAGGTAGCCAACAATGTTTTTTATTTGTTTGTTTTTTGTTTTTTATTTTTATTTTTAATTGGGGTAGCCCCCAAAATATTGGGACATATAAAAAAAGAAACATTTCCTGATACAAGCCTCTGCTAATGTGTACCTAGTTTATACTAAGTGACCCATAGGTTGAGGAGGCGGTGACCGTGGCGGTGTAGGTGGAAGCAGCGGTGGAGGAGGAGGAGGAGGTAGCCAACACTGTTTTTTATGTTTTTTTTGTTTGTTTTTTTATTGTGGTAGCCCATAAAATATTGGGACATACAAAAAAAGAAACATTTGCAGCCTGCTGTGCATTTCTTGCAGTCCTGATGCATGGAGAAATGCTCAACTCCTGATCAATGGAGAAAAGGCCTTCACAAGCCTCTGCTAATGTGTACCTAGTTTATACTAAGTGACCCATAGGTTGAGGAGGCGGTGACTGTGGCGATGTAGGTGAAAGCAGTGGTGGAGGAGGAGGATGAGGTAGCCAACACTGTTTTTTATGTTTTTTTTTAATTGTGGTAGCCCACAAAATATTGGGACATACAAAAAAAGTAGAGTAGCTGTTGACATTATAGTTGCGCAGGCACTTTGTTGACTCTAGAGAACCTCGGGCCAATCGCATATCCTTGTGGCGGCAACTTTGCATGCGGATGTCATCCATATCAACTGTCGATGCCAGTACGGGTAACGGAGAATCAGGGTTCCATTCCGTACAAGAACCCTGAGAAACGGCTACTACATGCAAGGAAGGCAGCAGGCGCGCAAATGACCCACTCCCGACGCGGGAAGGTAGTGACGACAAATAACAATACAGGACTCTTTAGAGGCCCTGTAATTGTAATGAGTCCACTTGAAATCCTTTAACTCTGATCAATTGGAGGGAAGTCTGGTGCACAGCCACTGACCCGTGTGTGCTGCAGCTGAAACTCCACTATCGCCTGCTGCTGCTCGCACAGTCTCATGAGGCCGGGAGCGGGAAGGCCAAAGTTACACTGCAGCGCAGACAGGCGAGCAGCAGCAGGGTAACAACGCCAAAAGTGCGCACAGCCGCTACAGTGAATGTCACATCCTGTTCCAAGTTGCGGATCAGTCTGGTGATGGCTTCTGGTATCCAGTACTCTTTTTACTGAAGCTGCATCAGGGTCCTGGTATGTGGCCGCACAAACACTGGTGCTCAACACCACGGGGCGTGCGGTTACCCTGCAACAGACCCTGCTAATCCATTCCACACTGTGACTCCTAACTTTAACATCAGGCTAACTGGGTCCTGGTCGTTCCGACCGCCAGCCAGACAGTGTCTGGGTCCTGGTCACTGGACTGCCCACCTCACTGTGAAACTACGAATGGATCATTAAATCTGGTACGAACCCAAACTTTGCAGTTCGGGTTCGCTCAACTCTATTATGGATCCTTTGATCACTACATGTATTACTTGGATAACTGGTAGTTCTCGAGCTAATACATGCCGACGAGCACTAGGGGACGGGTGCTCCGCTTTTGCACCCTGCTCCCTCTTATGCTGTGCTGGTGCCTCTGTGCGACCAGCGCCTCTTTTTCCAAACTGCACACGTCACTCGCATGACCTTGATTCCATGTGGGGTCCTGGACCTCATCATCCTCCACATCATCTTCCAACCACTCCTCCTTGCCGGTTTGCACACTGCAGAAAGCCACAGCAGTGGTCACCTATGTTTTTCAAGCATGTAAAGTCTGCAAAGGACATATGTAAATTGTTTTAGAATTGTATCCAGGCAACAGTTTTCCCTATTGTTTCTATTCACAAACCGGACTTTACATAGGACACGAGGCCATGTGACTGGAAGAAAGAAGATGTCATCTAAGGCAAAGGAAAGGTTTTTTTTACTGTAAGAACAATCAGGATGGAATTCTCTGCCTGAAGAAGTGGTTTTATCAGAGTCCATACAGATGTTCAAACAGCTACTAGATGCACACTTGCAAAAACAGAATATTCAAGGATATAATCTTTCAATCTAGGCTAATAACTGCTTGATCCAAGGATAAATCTAACTGCCATTCTGGGGTCAAGAAGGAATTTTTTTCCTAGCTTGTTGCAAAATTGTGCTTCAAACTGGGTTTTTTTTTGCCTTCTTTTGGATCAACAGCAAAAAACAAATGTGAGGTAGACTGAACTTGATGGACGCAAGTCTCTTTTCAGCTATGCAACTATGTAACTATGTAACTATAAACTGACCTCTCAGTTTGACTTGTGAGGGTATTGCCCCAGAATTACAATATTGTTGAAGTACCTCTTAGCTATTGATCACTGGTTTAAACATAGCAGCTTGTTATCTGGTAGTTTCTAGTGTAGAAAATATCAATCTGTTTTCTATCACTTAGATCTGTGTAACAAGTGTTGTAGGTGTGAAACAATATTACAAGTGACCGATGTAGTAAATTTGAATCAAAGTTCCATTTGCAAAAAAAATTCTTGTCCATCTTCTGTGGGTTATTGCATTTTTAAGATGTAGACTTATTGTATCACACTAGCCATGAAAAGGTAGATTGTCTGGCACGTTGTTTTGGTGTTTTGTTTTTAACTTTGTAGAAATGTATATTACTGCTTCTGTATATGAAGCGATCACAATAACACTTATTTTTCACTTTTTTAAAAAAAATCAGGCTACACAAAAATTGGTAATTCACAATATGACATCTGAAAAACACATGAAAGGATGCTGTATGATTTAAAAAAAAAAAAAGAACACACTACATGAAGGTCCTGTTTACTAGAGTGTGTAGTCATGAATGTAACCAGTAAAACTTTGTTTTTACAGCCACTGGTTGGCCCATACATATTTTAAAACTTGTTTAATTTTGTTGTAGCATGACTCGTAGATATGAAGAGCAGGCCCCAGAATGTACTATTTAGCAGATTAGCACCCAGAAAATGAGAATTCTTACAAGTGCGCTGTAAGCACACGATTAGACGCTTCTATTTGACTCTCAGACATGAAGTACACCCCAGTAAAATACTATTTAGCAGTTTAGCACCCAAAAAATTTTTACGTTTTAAAACTGCAATGTGACAGCAGTATTTTACGCTTCTATTTGACTCTCACAAATGAAGTGCACCGCACGCCGCAAATGTACTATTTAGCAGATTAGCACCCAGAAAATAAGAATGTTTACCACTGCGCTGTAAGCACACTATTATACGCTTCTATTTGACTCTCAGATATGAAGTGCAGTCCGCAAATGTACTATTTAACAGATTAGCACCCAGAAAATAAGAAAGTTTACCACTGCGCTGTAAGCACACTATTAGACGCTTCTATTTGACTCTCAGATATGAAGTGTAGTCCGCAAATGTACTATTTAGCAGATTAGCACCCAGAAAATAAGAATGTTTACCACTGCGCTGTAAGCACACTATTAGACGCTTCTATTTGACTCTCAGATATGAAGTGCACGCCCCAAAATGTACTATTTAGCAGTTTAGCACCAAAACAATTAGAATGTTTACAATTGCTCTGTAACCGCAGTATTAGACGCTTCTATTTGACTCTCGGATATGAAGTGCAGTACGCAAATGTACTATTTAGCAGTTTAGCACCAAAACAATTAGAATGTTTACAATTTCGCTGTAACCGCAGTATTAGACACTTCGATTTGACTCTCAGATATGAAGAGCAGTCCACAAAATGTACTATTTAGCAGATTAACACCCAGAAAATAAGAATGCTTACCACTGCACTGTAAGCACACTATTAGACGCTTTGATTTGAATCTCAGATTTGAAGTGCACCGCAGGCCCCAAAATTTACTATTTAGCAGATTAACACCCAGAAAATAAGAATGTTTACCACTGCGCTGTAAGCACACTATTAGACGCTTCTATTTGACTCTCAGATATGAAGTGCACCCCATTAAAATACTATTTAGCAGTTTAGCACCCAAATAATTGTAAGTTTTAAAACTGCAATGTGACAGCAGTATTTGACACTTCTATTTGACTCTCAGATATGAAGTGCACCCGACTAATGTACTATCCCGCTAATGTACTATTTAGCACCCAAAAAATTGATTTTTAAAACTCTGATGTAACCGCGGTATTTGAAGCTTCTATGTGACTCTCAGATATGAAGTGCACCCCACCCCACTAATGTACTAGTTTGCAGAATTCTTTCTTAAGCTGTCCCTATAAGCCTTCAGCATCCTCTCCCTACACTAATAAGACCGCATGTGCGTGCGGCGCTATGAGACTCCAGCTTATATGTAGGGGCTGGGTCACATGCTGCACTGGCCAATCACAGCCATGCCATTAGTAGGCATGGCTGTGATGGCTTCTAAGGGCATATGAGTCAAACGCTTGTTGATTGGTTGCCCTGCAGCCTTTGAAAACGCGCCATTAAATCGCCAAACACTGAACTCCAACGCGAACATACAGTGATATGTCCGGGGTCCAAAAAAACCTAATGTTCAGTACGAACCTGAACTTTACAGTCCGAGTTCGCTCAACTCTAGTTATATATCATTTTAAACAGTTCACAAAAAAAAAGAAGAAAACATATATGGATTCAAAATCCAGAGTCTTGATACATTACATAGATATAAGAAAGGCCTAACAACAGGTAATAGTTTATTAATTATAGCTCACAGACAAATGTAAAAAAAATTATTAGATTTTTTTCTAAATTGAAAAGTCTTACTGTAGCTGTCACAAATGTGATGTTTATAGTTATGTTCTTTGCTTTGGAAGATCAGAAATGTAGTGAATGTTATCTGAACTGAACACTGCAGTTATCACAACTGATATTAATATTCTTTGCACATTTAGCCTACAGTAAATAACTCAGGGTTAGTCACTAAAATGACAATGGCCAGGAATACACATTTAAGAACAAAATGGCAAACTGAAAACATAATTGACTTGGAGATTTTCTTCTAACTCAGCCACTTGATTTCTCAGCGTTTCTCACTTTGGTCAACAGTGCTTCTGTGTGTATGTGTTATTGGCTTGAAAAATGATTTCCATAAATTCACGTTACCATAGCGTTACTATATCCACATATTGGAAATAAAATCAGCCACGAAAACACAGAATTATCAGTCACCAGCCTTAAAAGGAATGACCTACTAAATCAAATCTCAGGGGGAACCAGAAAACAAAACTCTAAAAACAGTTAGTATGGTATTGTATTTATTTTGTTGAAATGTAATTCTTTTTCCTTACAGGAGTTAAAATCTGATGTTTTACTATCGCAAATTTAAGTAAAATATAACACTTCAAAAAATAATTAAAGTTGAAAATGAATCCAGCATGTTCCACTAGGTGGCATCCTCCCTCCATAAAAATGAGCATTAACAATCGTAACTATAAAAGCATTTTGTTTGTTTGTTTTTCATTAAACTTTATAAAATTATACAGCAAATTGAGTTTATTTTATCCCAGCAAATGTCTAATTACAATGCGATCTTGGTAGTGCTAATTTCTCCTGCAGTTCAATTCTGTCAATGTAAACTTGATGTTGCAACTGCTGAGTTGTCTGAGAGTGTCTGAGAGTAATGTTATTTGGTGTTTGAGTGTGTTGTGGAATAATTTGCATGAGTACCATACGGGCGCCCAATGGTCAAAATCGGCTGGTGGCACGGCCCATTGCTGACCAGCCCTGGAAAAAACACCCTGGTGGGGTTGCCTCTAAAGACCTTGCGCATGGAGGTGCGGGCCTATTTAGAGAGGTGAAAACGTTCACGTGTTTATTTAATTCCTTCATGAAGGCCTCTCTAAAAAGTTTTTCCTGTGCCTGTGGGCCTAGTTCTTTCACCCCAAGATCCGAC